TAAAAAAATGTCGTCCTAAAGATGTTGATCCGCTGGTCTTGTATCAGGAGATGTTGCAGTGCTTTTGCACTCAGTAGTATTTCTGATGTGGGAAAAAATACAAGGCTGTGTGGACTAGGCGCAGGTTTGCCTAGCACAGTGTAGCCTGAACTTGGGAAGAAAACCAATGTATTGCTGCATAGTTCTAGTGACTGAAACTCTGGTGTTTTATCAAGGTGGCAGTTCTAAGTACTTAAAATATATTTCAAGCATATAAATCTTAGCCTGCGTTGTTTATTTTACAATTTGTGCTCTGCTGCTTACATTATAATATCATTTACCATGTTGTTATTATCAGATTGTTCAATACTTGTGGTAGTTTGGTGTAAACAGCAGATAAGTTGATTCTCATTCCTTGTCTCTAAGAAGACTTGGGAGGTTTTATTTTTCTTCACTATATCAGATTACTGCTTAATGCTAATAATGCTGCTGTTGTTAAAGGATGGGAAGAGGCTTGAGGTGAAGAGATACAGCTACGGAGCAGCCAGCAAGGAAATAGTTCTCCAGGTGGAGGCAATAATAATGTGACCAGAGTTGTCTGGTCTAAGAATTCCAGCTAATTGCTACAAACAAATCCTCAGGTGATTTCAGCCAAGAGTGCTGAAAGAATTTGAAATACTATAATGAAATTGGCTGACTTGCTAAAAGACATGTGGTAACTCAGGTGGAAGTTACAGGAACTCCTCAGAGATTATTGGGTGTTTTTGTTTGTATTATTCCTGGAGGTGATCGGTGATTGTGCCTTGTATTGTTGGAGGCCATCCACTTAGTCACTGTACAAATGGTGATGTAATAAGTATTTTAAACATAAGAGTTTTCTAGACTGAATATTCTGACTTTGCTGGTGTTTTGTGTCTGCTGTTTCTTCCAGGACAACAGGGTACACATTGGACCAAAAATGGAAATCCGTGTTGTCACTCTAGGATTGGATGGAGCTGGCAAAACAACTATTCTGTTCAAGTTAAAGCAAGATGAATTCATGCAGCCAATTCCAACAATAGGTTAGTAGCTGCAATTTAAATGTAATGACTTTTCCAAATGTTTGACTTATCTGCAGGTTTTGGTTGTTTTATATTCATACAGTGCAGGACTATAAAACTTTAATGTTTTCCTTCTAGGCTTTAACGTTGAAACAGTAGAATACAAGAATTTGAAGTTTACTATTTGGGATGTAGGAGGAAAGCACAAATTGAGGCCCTTGTGGAAACATTATTATCTCAATACACAAGGTAATACTGATACAGCTTTTATACTGCATTTTGTCTTCTAGCTTGTGTTTCAGAGCCAAAAAGATTATTAATAGAAATAACTTATAACAGCAGAAAGTTGTTCATCTAATGCGAAGTACAGCTGCTGGATTCATGAGCTGAGAAATTTTAATCCAGTTGGTCACAGTGTCTGCTGCATGATAAAGGTGCATTCTCCATAAATCCATCAGACAGTTCCACGGAGCCAAACAAAATTAGAACCTCTGTTAAATTGGTTCTAGCTGACAACAGACAAGGTGCAGCATTCCAAACTCTGCATAGTGAGAAGTAGTGCTTGCCAGGTATGAAATTTAAATAGCACTTGAAAATATTCAGCTTTTAGGAGCCTTCAGTTAGCAACCTAAAAAATTCTACCCAATTCTGTAAATTGCGGCTTGGAATTGCAGTGCAGTATCTGGTTGTGGACTAGGTTACTGATTCTGAAAACACTGATCTATAATGTGCCAGCTTAGAAATTCATTATGGCCTTCTGTAAATCCTCCACAGTTATTTCCCAATTCAGAAAGGAGTTCCTCTTCACTGATTCACTCACAATTGTCTGAAATACCTAGGAATTACAAACACCAGTTTATTTACTCCACTTTGTGCAGCATTTCAGCCTTAAATGTAGACTTGAACATTTTAAATTACCCCTTCAGACATTTAAAGATTGCATTTTCGTATTTCTCCTGCCCTCTTAAAACTCACTGTGTAAAGTAGCATGGGACTATGCCTGCCTTGAGGAATTGCATGTTGGACAGAAAGCCAAGCAGTTACCCTGGTGCACACCCGCAGTAGACTTTTGTTTAGTTTTGGTATTGGGTTTTTTTTTTTTTATCATTGCAAAAACCTTGAGTTTAAATTTTATCCTCTAGCTCTGCCTCTCCAGCCTTTCTGGCATCTTAGTTGCTCTCTCTAGGGGATAGTAAAATCTGCTGCTGCTATGTTGGGTCCGTGGCAATCCTCTCTGGATTGTGCAGTCTGCAGCTGAAGGGAGCTGTGCTGGTTTGGCGGAACCTGTAGATATTGCAGCCAGTTCAGGGAAACTGGAACAGTCATGTGGGAGTTGACTGAGTATAAATGGATCAAGAAATGGTTTAAACTGAGATGTTCAATCCACACATAGTAAATCTGGTTTTAGACCTAAGTAGTTAAAATATCACAGCCTTTATATTAGACTAGAAAAAAACTTTACAGGCTATTTTTCCCTCTTTTAGGATGAATTCTAGATTTTTGTTGAAGGTATAGAGGTATGTCAGGAATTTCTCTGTCCTCCTCAATCTGAAACTGAATTTGTGCTCTGCTTCACATAGAAAGCTGCTAGAAAAAAAAAAAAGGAGTTGTGTGAGTTGAAAGCTAATTTTACAGATTTTGTTCGAATGTGTGTAAAACATTTCTCTCTCTCTTTTCATAGCTGTGGTGTTTGTTGTTGACAGCAGCCACAGAGACAGAGTCAGTGAAGCATACAGTGAACTTGCAAAGTTACTAACAGAGAAGGAGCTGCGGGATGCCTTGCTCTTGATCTTTGCTAATAAGCAGGTACTTGCCATTATTTTTCACTTTCTTTTCCTCAGCCTGTGTGTCTGATTCCAACTTCCTGAACCCTTTGCCCTGGGTAGGGAACGGTAACATGGAAAGCATAACGTGTAATACATGTAATGCTGGTAAAATAAGTGTTGCCAGAGTACTGAACAACTCTTTCATGGTAAGAGGTAGTAAATGTGTAACTGCTTTGTTTGGTTTTTGTGTTTGGAAAGCTTCTCTGTGATCTGTAGCTTCAGTCCAAGCCATGAGTTCAAAATAAAATGGCTTCAGAGGTAATACAGAAGAATAACTGAGGTTTTGTGTCTGGTTCCCTTGCAGGATGTGGCAGGTGCACTGTCAGTGGAAGAGATCACAGAACTGCTGAGCCTCCACAAGCTGTGCTGTGGCCGCAGCTGGTACATCCAGGGCTGCGATGCCCGAAGTGGCACAGGACTGTATGAAGGACTGGACTGGCTCTCGAGGCAGTTGGTGGCTGCAGGTGTCCTGGATGTGGCTTAATTGTACAGCAGCTGCAGCTGAGGGTTGTAGTTTATGGTTTTGTTTTGTTTGCACGACTTAGGGTGTAGTTACCTGGTCTGCTCTCTAAAGAGGGGATTTTATTTCACGTGGTGGTTACAGACAAATACAAACCTTTTCCCTGGACTGGGTAATTGGTTCAGTCAACTTGTGCCGTTGTAGTGTTTTTTTGAAACTTGATACATTTATAGGTAGTGGAACGGGCGCGTTACAAAGATGCCTTGAAATTCCTTTTGGTGAAATCGTTACAATTTAAGGTTCTTCCCTGATGAAATATGCATTGGAGTTCAGGTAGTAATTACAACAATGTTACAGGAGTTAGTTAGTGTAAGAAAAATTCTGAGTGGTTTAGAATCCTTTCCCCATGAAACGATTCAAAAATCCATCTCAAGTCATTAGAACAGCCAGATCTGCCAGTCAGAAATAAATGGTGCTACTCTTTAATAGCTGAAGAATTCCTTAACCTAAAGGTGACATTGAAGCTTACATGCAAACACACCACAAAGAAAATGTTCCCCCTATTGTTTAAGTGTTTCCCTGTTTGTTACCAAAGGGCAGCAAAACTGCACAAAGAAGACGAAGAATAGAGATCAGTGTGCAGGGCAAGGAGGTTGTGGGATTGTTTGGCTGCTCATTTTCTGTCTGGGAGGCAGGGGTTAGCAGGGGTTTTCATGCTGAATTATTTATGGACAGACTATGGTGGATGATACTGAGGTGAAGGTGTTTTGTGCATACTTGAGGACATAATCTGCCTTTAGAGATTAAGTTCACTCCTCAAGAGGTCGAATTAAAGAACCCCAAAACTTCTGAAAGAAGTAGTGTGGTGTAATGTCAGCACAGCTGTGTACTTTCAGGTAGAACTCATGCTTCCAGATGAAGGTAGTGGCCTTAAAATATTCAATAACACAATGTAAAAGCTGTGCACTCTAACTATAACTCTTACTTAGAAGAGCAGATGGTAAAATGTGATATAAACCTTCCAAAATTAGATTTTCAGTTCTTACTGTGTCTTCTCTGTGGAACTGTCACCAATGCCTCTATTTTTGAAGATTACTCATTCACAAACCCATGAAATATGGGTGTAGTGCAGTTTAAATTTAGAGGAGGCTACAGTGACCTAGCGATGTCTCTTTTTCTGCTGGACATGCAACTCTGCTAACGATTTTGTGCATCTGGTGTGTGCAGCAGAATATCCTGCCCTTCTTCCAAACGCATGGCTACTGCCAGTTGAAGAAGCCATGCCATGGATCCTTTGCATGTTGGTAGAAGAGCTGCAAAGAGCATGACCAGTAGAGCAAAGCTTATCAGTTTTCTCCCTGGAGCAGAGGTGAATCAGGAGAACCAGACAGTCGAAGAGAACAGTGTTATTTCATAGACATGGAGATATTTTTGCCACACTTCCAAGTGTGTTTACCTGTGAGAGCTCTGCCCCTCACCTGGCAAAGCAAGTGAATCTTATGATCTGTGGCTATGGCTTTTTCATTGTAATATTATTCATTTTATGTTATTTTTCCACTACATACCTTAGGTAAAGCCAAGAATGTATAAACAAGTAATTTCGTACGTTTGCACTTTTTCTTCAGGAGGAAGCAGTTCAGGTAACTCCTTTCTCATAATGGCACTTGTAGTTTTCTCTTGTTACTTAAATTTCAGGTAAATGATGCTAAATGCAGTTTCAGATCCAGCAAGTCTAATGACTTGAGTAGTACCTGAAAGAACACTAAGCTTTAAAGTAATGTTTGTGAAGTGGGTTTCAATGCCTACACGTGTACATAGGAACTGAGACAGGGTATCTGCTCCTTGTTCAGACAACGTGAAACAGTAGTTTATAACGGAGTGAAAGGTGATTTTTTTGCACCTACCAAACTTAAAAGTTGTTCCTCCTCCCCAGGCTGTGACTTCTTGCACAATACACAGTTGGCTGCTCTGACCTGAGCATCTGCTTATCCTGTGCTGCAGAGCAACCCCTGACCTAGTTAGGGCTGACTGTCCCTTCACAGCTCTTTTTTAAACACAAACAAGTTCTACTAAGTATGGTAGGTACCTTTTCCTGGAATACTTTTAACAAAGACATGCATTCCTTAGAAAAATCCCTGTTCTGTACTTTTGTTTTAGCTGGCTTAAGCTTCAGTTACACAAGCTGCTCAGTATAGTTCTACTTCAAAAGGTTCAAGGTGACCAGTTTGGATTTTATGTAACATTATATTTGAGGGCAGAGGAAAAATTCTCACTCATGCATATTTCTGAGTACAAGTGATTGCTTGTGACATGTGGAATGCTACCATAAAAGTGTTTTTAAACTGAGTTTATTTAAGATGACTTGAAGTAACTGTGAAAGTGTTGCATTCGTCTGTGAACTCTTCAGTGTAAACAGGTAGTGCACTGAGAGGTTTATTTGTATTATGAATTAATACTACATATAAACTGCTTCAGTTACGAATCTTAAGCTTGTTTCACCAGTTTTACTGAACTTTTAGTTTTTAGTGTACTGACTTATGCAATATGTAATTGGAATATTTCCTCAACTAGAACTCGCTCAAGCATTACTAACTATGGGGATTGTTTGAAAAGACTGAACAACTTTTCAAAGGATTTGACTTAATTGTGAAATTGAGTAAATGCAACATGCAGTGACTGTGTCGTGGCTTTCTTTTAAAGAATCTCAGCTCAAAAATAGTATGTCTGGGCTAACTGAAGGACAACATTTTATCACTTGATATGATCTTTCTGTATTCTACCTTCAGAGTTATTGTGGACTATGAGGGTTTGGTTCCGAGAGTGTTGTGAGTAAATGTGGTTCTTATGTAAAGATCTTTTGAAGGTAAAGGGCTCTTCGTAGAAACAATTCATGAGCTGCTGCAATTTGAGTTACCCAGAAAACTAATTCTTTTCAATAAAAGTATCTAAACCTTGAGAACTGATTTTAATCAACTTGCCTTTTTGTTTTTTTAAGGTCATCTCAGAGTAGAGATGTGCTACATTTAACATACTGTAGAATTTTTCTCACTGATCAGTGGAGATATACCTTTATCTCACTAGATAGACTTCCTTGTGGCAACAGCAGCTTCTGAAGGACTAAATTTGCTTATTGTGCATCACATCTCAGTGCATGAATGAAGTTATCAGAACTGTAAACTCCTGAGGCTTTTATGAGTGCAGTGGTGTTACATGAAACAGCCAAAATCAGTGTTACTGTCTTTAGAGCAGACTCAACTGTCCAGCACAGGAACAGGACCAATCAGATTGTCCAGATTCACAGCAGCTTGAGCAGTTGTCTGAGCTTCCATTGAGGACCTGCTGTTTGTGAACAGAGAAGGACTAGTAGGTGATGTGATGCCACCATCTTGGTGGCATCCTGTCTTGTACCAGCAATACTGTGGCCAGCAGAATGAGGGCAGGAATCCTGCTCCTGTACTCGGCACCAGCAACAAGTGCTGTGTCCAGTTCTGGGCTCCTCACTTCAAGGATATTGAGGTGCTGGAGTGAGTCCAGAGACAGGCATCGAGGCTGGTGAAGGGTCTGGAGCACAAGTCCTATGAGGAGCAGCTGAGGGAGCTGGGAGTGTTTAGCCTGGAGAAGAGGAGGCTCAAGGGAAACTCTATCACTCTACAGCTACCTGAAAGGAGGTTGTAGCCAGGTGGGGGTTGGTCTCTTCTCTCAGGAACAGGACAAGAGGAGACGACCTCAAATTACCATTGGATATTAGGAAAAATTTCTTCACTGAAATGTGGTCAGGCATTGGAACAGACTGCCCAAGGAAGTGATGGAGTCACCATCCCTGGAAGCATTCAAAAACATTGGGATGTGGCACCTGGGGACATGGTTTAATGGTGAAGATGGTTGGTGCTGGGCTGGTGGTTGGACTTACTGGTCTTAGAGGGTTTTTTTCCAACCTTAATAATTCTATGATTTTATTACATGACTGCATCAGAACATCTAACATAAAGCTTAGTTCAGATTATTACCATAATCTAAGTATTTCACTAGGAACAGTAATGTTTGTAGGACTCTGGGGAAAAATGAAGCCAGACGGAAAGACTCCCTAGGTTAAACTAATGAGGAAACAAACATTGAAGGAAAAAACAGTCCTTGGCAATACCAAACAAATTGCACAGGACTTCACACACTTGCATTCCACAAGCTGATTATGGCTCTTGGACAGAGAAGACATGTACACAACCATTCTTAAGAACAGAGGTGGATAACATTGCTATCATAGCAAACGGTATCATAACCTAATTAATTTTTGATACATTTGCATAGGATTGAAGAGTTTACTCAGGCTGGGATTTCTGACCTTTTCCTCTGTCAAAGACATCAACACTGTGTAAAGGATTAATTAAATACGAAAAAGGTACAAACACGATCCTGGGACATGGGAAGGGGTTTATCTTTGGTTTTGCATAGAAGAGGTGCAAGAAAGACAGTAGGCTTTGTAAGAAACATGCAGGTGGTTTTACTCCCAAATACAAAGTTACCAGAAATACATAATTAGGGCACTTTAGGTACATTAAAAATAGGAAAACTGGTGATTGCTCAGACGTGGTACTAACTATAGGAATTATCAAAAACATTTCTGTTCTTTCTAGGTCCCTTTTTGGGTCCCACATGCTGAGTTTTTTCTGCTGAAGCTGGAACACTTTCTTACTTCACTGTGATATTAATGATGCTGATATCCTCATAGGGTTTGTCGGTCTTGGGGTTGACTTTGACATTTGAGATTCTCTGAACAACTTCCATGCCTTTAGTCACCCGTCCAAACACACTGTGCTTGTTGTCCAGCCATGGCTGTTTGAGAGCACATGAGAAAGAAAAAAGCACATTACAGCAGAAAGCAGCATGTAAGTTAGATACCAAACCAGAAAGAAAGCGTACGTGGATATACTTCATATATCCAGACTATGGAACAGAACACTGTAAATATTAGTAAGCAAGTAAGTACCAGACATGTTCATATGTATTTGAACTTACCCTTTCAATTGTTTTCTGAAAGTCAGAGGTCACATTCTACCAATGCAGTAGCATTGTATGGTTTAAAGTGTATTGAGATTGAGAACTGGCTGAATGGCAGATCCCAGAGGGTTGTGATAAGTGGCACAAGCTCTAGTTGGAGGCCTGCCACTAGTGTCCTCCAGGGTTCTGCACTGGGCCCAGTGTTGTTCAGCTTGTTCATCAATGACCTGGATGAGCGGACACAGTTGCCTCCTCAGCAAGTTTCACTGGTGACACAAAGCTGGGAGGAGTGAGTGGCTGATACCCCAGAGGGCTGTGCTGCCCTTCAGAGGGACCTTGATAGGCTGCAGAGATGGGCAGAGAAGAGAGACACGAAGCTCCTGGAGCAGGTCCAGAGGAATGCAACAGAGATGAATAAGGGACTGGAGCACCTCACTTAAGAGGCTGAGGGAGGGGAGCTGGGCCTGTTCAGCCTTGAGAAGAAATGACTGAAAGGGACCTCATCAATGTAACCTCATCAATGTATACAAGTAGCTGAAGGGAGGTGTCAGACGACGGATCAGGCTTTGCTCAGTGGTGCTGAGCAGTACAAGATGCAACGGACAGAAACTTATGCACAGGAAGCTCCATCTGAATACGAGGAAGAACTTCCCTGTGCAGTGACTCTGCACATAACAGATTGCCTAGAGAGGCTGTGGATTTTCCCTCACTGGAGTTATTCCAGAACCACGTGGATGCAATCCCGAGCCATTTGCTCTGAGATGACCCTGCCTGAGCAGGGAGATTGGACCAGATGACCCACTGTGGTCCCTTCCAACCTGATCCATCCTGTGATTGTGTTCTCAGTTCACAGATACATGTGATGTTTCAGTCTCTCTGTTTCATGATATTTTCACAGAGAATTATAATTGTCAGTCCAGAAAAACACTTAATTCAAAGTCACATTCATACATATGAATGGAGGCACTGATACAACTTAACAATCCTCCAACTATGGTAGATGGGTGCCTTTTTTTTTTTAAAAAAAAAAAAGTATTTTGAAATAAGTGCTGTAAAAATGCTGGGTTTTTAAAGTGTTACCTGTAAGGATTTTTTTGTATCTCTTGGATTCACATAACAAAATTTCTATTTTTGGCTCTGAAATTACACACAGATGAAAGGAAATCTTAAAACCTGAACAGCTTCAAACTGTTGTATAGCTACTATTAGGCAGTATTAAAGTGACATCCAAGCACCACATCCAAACTCCAAATAACTTGAGCAGTACCTAGCTTTCTATCAAATGCAAACCACTATTATTAATATGACACTCTAGTAACACTTAATTGCAAATATGCCTAACAATTTTATATCACCCTTACTCTAATCAAAGGCAAAAGGCCTCTTGACCACCACTGACAAAAATACTTCTCTGTTTATTAAGGGATGGTTTCAGTGAAGCCTACACAGTGTACATCGTTGTGTGCATCATTTAGATAGTTCTAGAGTGTTCCTGTTTCCACCAGAAAAAAAATCTATTTTTTACTATCTTCTCACCCTCTCAGACCTTAAAGTGAGCTTTTAGTGTTACTTACAGTTGGCACTACTGTTATAAAGAACTGGGATCCATTGGTATTTGGTCCTGCATTAGCCATGCTGAGTGTGTATGGTCTGTCATGTCGTAAAGTCGAATGAAACTCATCTTCAAATTCTCCTCCCCAAATACTTTCACCTCCCATTCCTGTACCAGTTGGGTCACCAGTCTGGATCATGAAACCCTGCAGAGAAATTCAATGTTAGTACATCATTGCACAGAATGAGTAACCAGAAGAGATTTATGCAAGGTGATGTTTTTTCAAACTTAAAACCTTTAAACAAAATATAAGTCTTAAAATGCTGTGGCTAAGGGACAAAGCATTTAAGGCTTTTCTAAGGGACAACCAAGTACTTGTGAAAAAGCAAGGCTCATCACTGTTCCTGCCAGTGAAGAAGGACTGAAACCTCACTATCTGCACCTCCAGCCAACACTTAGGCTGTATTGAATCACAGAATCATAGAATCAGCTG